AAGCCTATATATTCTTTCAGACTATGTTCTACATCTATGCCAAATTTCATTCAGATCCTTTCAGCAGTTTAGGCTACAAACTCTAACAAACATCCATCCATCTAAACTTTCTCATTAATATGAAAGTTTCATTCTAAAAAAGTAACATTTAGCAACGTTGAAATCAATGACGAAATTACTTCATGATACCCATTTATGGTCAAACTTATTTCTACACAAGTATCGTTATAAGCTACAGCCAAAACATTTAAGACATTCAACTCCTACAATGAGACAATTTAAAGAACAACACCCACTTGTACAACGCCTACCAAAATATTTGAGAACTTAATTTATGAAGCATGTTACACAATGTAAAAAATAATCAAGGCCACCCATGACCATGAGATAACTATTTGAAGGATGATGGTCAACTACTATGAAAAGAGTTCTAGCTATTACGTTTCATCGTCATCTCCCCTACCTTATCCTAATCCCATAGGGTCGGCGCATGTTTTCGTTCTCCAAATAACTCTATCATCCGTCATCCCAGTCATCAATTCCTTTTTGGTCATCCATCCCTTTATAGGTCTACCTCTACCGGTGTATCCCTCCACATTCATAACTAACGTCCATCTTGTTACATGCGATTCATTACGTTTGTTTCCCAAAAAAAAAAATTACTTTTGCTGTGCAGATACCACCCAAAGAGTGAGAACTAATTTAAAAAAAAAAGATTATTTTGTGATCTAAATTCTATAGAAAATTGTGCTCGTTAGATAGCCTAATTGCATAAAAAATAATTGATTTAAAAAAACAAGTTTTTGTATAGACTCGACCGTGATAATGTGAAGCTTAAATAATCGAACAGGTTAGTGAAAACAAGATTTTTTTAAATATTCGGTTTCGCTTACAAATTAGGCTCATTCAAAAATCACAAGGGCAGGTTTTTAGAAGTTAACATTCGAGGTTAATGGGATAATAACGTTTCTTTTGCTGTCAAGATTTGTAGCTTCGAGTATCTTGGTTAAGCGGTCAAAAACAATTTTCTCCACAAAGTGTTGGAGAGTTAACCATAATTAAATAATTATTTATGTAAATAACTTCTCGCCCATTCTAAACCACAGATAGTTAAATGTTTAAGTTTGATTAAAGTAAATACTTTGTGACACAAATTCTTATCTATTAGTGTTTTATTGAGGTCTAAGCTAATCCAAGTTAATTTATGTTTTTGATAAATAAATAAACTTAACAATAAAATACGTATTCTTAATTATTCATTATCACAATGATTATAATAGTTCTATCCTAATTTCGGTTAATTGTTTCCAGTTAAACAATTGCTAGTGATGTCAGAACTACGGTAAAATAAAAATTCGGTGCAGATAGGAATTAAACTACGAAAACTTAGATCTCACTTTTGACTACTGTGTTCTTGTCGAAGTGCAAAAAAGGGACCGTGGCACAGTTATGGTACGCGGATCGGTTCACTTTGTTTCGTTTCGATGATTGACTACGTAGGCGAGTATGGCGGCTATCCAGGGCGCGGTTACAAAACAGCTGATCTAGTTCAGGGACCACAATAGATAATTGTTACGAAACACCTGCCCAACAGTACACAACACTATAAAATAGGAAAAAAATTGGAACAGTTTTTGTAGTCCCAAAAAAAAGTTTTGTCTGTTTTGTTTTTTTTTTTTAAATATAAGCCGTGGTATAACAGAGACTAGAGAATTATTATTTACAATATTTTTCAACATAAGAACTATAAATCTATAGAAACGAGAAAAAAATTAAATACACCTGTAAGCTTGGCCCTAGCATTTAAACCTTAAGACCTGACCTTGCTGCAATTCCAATAAAACGAATAAACTTTGTATTTTCGATTCCTTCCTCAACTAAACATAAAAAGAGGCTAGATGTGTTTTTTTTTGGTTATTTTTTAATAGTTCAACAAATTGAAATGTCGGTAAACACCGATCTCTCTAAACATGCTTGTATTGAGTAAGTATTATGTATTTATCGGCGGCACGTAGCAAACGGGCATTTCACAAGCTGCAAATGTAGCGGAATGCGGCCCGGCCGTACGTATCGGCCTTGCATCTCACGCTGACCACTCTCGCGCACTCTATCTTATAACACGCAACTAATTTAATACATAAAATCACGTAAAAACAAACAGCCAATGTTATGTGCATGATTTAATTAAAAAACATCATAAAAAATTACTCCAGCCAGAATAAAGACCTAATGAAAAAAAAAATTTGGAACATTTATAAAACATACAGATTTACTTAATAAACTTTGTGCTAAACTTAGTACCAAATCTAAGAACAACATTGTTTTTTACAAGAAACAATCTTTTCAAGCATCTTTTTAACAAAATCTCTTGAAAAATAAATTTCCAAGTGTACTTTGGAGGAAATATGAAATGGAACTGTTTGAAAAAATAACTGAGCTATAAAAAGTTTTTACTCTTACATAAGTTTTCATTACCATTAAGTAAACAGCATTGTTAATACAGGTGGGCATAACTTCTAATAGAAATTATGTTTTCCTTTTCTATGTATTATTATAATTTCTACATATGCAGTGACAACTTTGACATAGTATGTTTTAACTTTAATAATAAGAAAGAGAAGGCTTGAAAAGTACTTTGAAGTCGGTTTAAAATCATTCAGTATGTGATTGATGTTATAGGTATGTGGGGTTGTGGCTCGATCAAATAAAAATAAACTCGTTATCTATCGCTGTTTTTAATATTTACACCATTTTACAAAAAAACACATCTTGTTACATCATCGTTCCTCTTTTTTCTCTGACTCTCAACTTAAAACTAATTTTAAACCAACGTCAAAGTATAAAATTCGAAATCAATTAAAAAGAAACATATCTAACCTCCTTATAACCTCTTATAACCTCCTTATCCTACATGTACTTTTAAAAATTATAAGGTATACTCAAAATATTGGAATTTTGTAATTTTTCTTGTAATTGTATATTAACATTAAAAAAAATTAGATTCATAAACATTGGATACGCAATGCAATCTAGATTCTTCCGTTTATTATTTGATCATCATCTCCCCTACCTACTCCTGTAGGGTTGGCGGAATGGGTTTTCACCTGCCAAATAACTCTATCACCCGTCATCTCAGTCATCATTCCCTTCTTGAATATCTCACCTTTCACACAATACATACATCTCTTTCTAGGTCTATCTATCCAATTTGTTCTTAAAATCACTTAAATGGATTTATAGTGATGTCGAACATGTAAAAAAACTCAGAAAAAAAAAGAAAAATTAATACAAAATTTCAGATTTCTTGAACCAAAACTTGATAGTCATTAAATCTGGTTTCTCTTTCTCTCTATTAATTTTTTTTTCTTTTGCTTAATGAATAAAAGGGATTAGCAGATTAGTAGTAAAATAATTATGCAATTGCATAATTACATATCTGTATTAAATTTTTTACAACTCTTGTAGTGGTAGTATATTTAATGGGTAATCATAATAAGTGATGTTTCAGAGAAATTAGTTAATTAAGATATAATGTATTGAGTTATACAATAATATTGATTATTACATTTGAAATATGTATATCTGTGTTATACATTTGTGCAATTAAGAATATAAATTTTACCAGACATAATAACACAATGGTCAAAGTCATATTTTACTTTTTTTCAAATTAATAACTATGCTGATTTGCGGGTAGAGAAATGTTTAATGGTTTCCAACTTTCACTCGGATTTGATGCTATTTAAAGATATTTAACTTAAATTATCACACAAAACTATTCTGCAATAAACACACAAAAAGTCACTTTATAAAAATTCCATAAAGTTTAACACTAATATAAATGATGTCCACAATGGCAGTTACTTCCAACACTGTATGATAAGAGCCTTCACATTGTTCAGTATTCAAACAAGTTTACCTTATAATGACATCAACCTTTATGATCGTATTAAAGCAGTATAACATAAGACAAGGAAATTTCATATGTATTTATTATTTAATTTTAACCTATGAATTATACTTTGTATAAATATATAATAGCTATTTCAGACTAGGACAACTTCAACTTTCTAAATGCATCTAAATCAGTTTTGATAACAATGCGTCAAATGCAAAATTTAGCTTCAAAATAAATGTACCGACTTTCCAAATACAAGACATATTTGTAACCTTTTATACAAATACAGAAATTAAAGAATAAAATCTGTATAAGACATGTTGACTTTCGGATTTTTAAACTTCCAACTTCGGGAATCCAAATTAAAAGTTACAAATTCTCAACTTAGTCACTAGGTAACAGAAGAAAAACGATAATGTGTTGACTTACCCAAAGCTCTGTACCCCAATTCATTGTCACGAAAGTATATCACACAAGTTTCACTAAAAACATCGAAAATTCACTAACACAAATATAGAAAGTCTAATATAATGAATTATATCCACAACTTATTTTTTACATTCACTACATTGAAATACCACCATTTCAAACACTAAACATGGCTGACTGAATAAACCACAGATTATTGAGATAAAATAACTGACATATTCGTTACCATGACATACAAACAGACTACTAAAAGTTACAAAGTTATACTTGATACTGGTTTTTTACCATTTTTACTGACATTTCACGCTAATGTTGCCAGTCAAGCTACCATAAATGTCAAATGTTAACAATTCGGTAAATTTTAGGGGAATTTTTTACATTTAATGTTTAAATTAAATATTAATTTTCCGTTGGAAAAAAAACTATCTAGAGATATTTCTAGACAATTGCAATTTAATTAGAAGACTATTGTATAACGTTTAAATGAAAAGTTAAATACATGTAATATATAAGTAAGTTAATCTTATAAAGTAAAATTTATAACCATCAGAGATACTTACAGTAAACTTAAGAAATGAAATAAAAACACACAGTCAAGATTCTTCTCCGTCTTTAGAATGTTGTTAGTGGAAATTGAAGGCCACTTAATATGAGGAGCATATAGCATCAAGTAGTACCTAATAAAAAGCTATTAAAATGAAGAGACATTTATTCATATTATTTAAATGTTATTGTTGATCTTCGTTTGAAATATAAATTTTTATGTGACGCTCTGCATTCGCATAACGGGGCTCCAATAAGGAACCGTCAGAACGACGTCGCACAAGTGCAGTACGGCGAACTTCCTGGAAAGTAGTTGTATTGTTAACATTTGAACTTTGTATTTTTTTCGTTCATTCTGAATACTTTAGAACAGTAATGTAGGGCTTTATTAGAACTTACTTTAACCGGCTCCAATACTGCATGATGACTGGATCGTCTTGATGTTGATGCGCCCGTTAATGATGAAGTGCGAGATGATGGTAAGGGGCTCTGTTGAATGCAATTTTATTTATTCAAAACAGTTCTTGGGGGTTTATAACAACTTACTGTGCATAATAACAATTGCCTCAATAGCGTACCTTAAGCGCTGGTACGAATCCAAAATCAGTTGATAATGGCTGTGCCAGAATATTATAAGTTCCTTCCTCTGAAGTCACAGATACAATGGACGGACGAGCTGATAGTTGTTGAGCTAACAGTATTGGATCTGCATCTAGTAAACATAGGGTCAAAAATAAGGTTATTTTATATTTTACAAAATTGCAAAAGTTATTCTGGTAAATTATGTATTTTAAAAGCTATTAATATTTATACCACTAATTTTAGTTTCATACCTGCGAAGTACCAATATGATATGAATCTTTAATTCAATGTAATCTGGATGCACCATATATAGGATGCAGTGCATTTTGAACTATGCTTACGTCAGTTTATTATATTTAACTTACTAATTACCTATGTTCATGCCCTTAGCAACTCTCCGTGCTTGTACAACTCTACCAGCGCTTCTTCTAAATCTTATTCCCTTTTCTGCTTCTCTTCTTAGTCTCTGTTCAGCAGCCGCAGATTCAGCTATGGCCATTGCCATCGAACTCATTCCTGATCTTTTTAAGTTTATGTCTATCAAATAACTGAGACAAATTGCATTCGATAATGTTAAATCACTAGGCTGGAATTAATACAAAACAAAGGTAAGAAATCCCCATTTGGGATTACTAAGTACAATTTTTACTAATTGTACTTACTGATCCAATATTATTTACACTAATATCCAACGATCGCAGTGGTGTTTTCACCAATCCGATTGCTCGTGCTAATAAATCCCCACAAGTTGGAGGATTATCAGCATTCAATGCGGACCAAACACCTGCTGGTGGCTTTTGTAGTGGATCTGGTTTTATACCACAACCAGATATATTTAAGCTGTAAATCATCATAAGATTAAAATGTTATAGTAAGAAAAGGTAAAAAATGATTTATGAAAAATCCATGAAATAGTTACGAAGTCAGGTTACATCCCCGTGCGATGGCAACCGCTGCATGAGCAACGCCATCGGAACCAAGCTTATTGTTTAATCGCAAATCTAAATTTCTTAAACCGCAACTTGTATGATTCAGTACGTGTGCTATATGTTCAATACCATTCGGACCTAAAACATTTATAATTGTAGTCGTGTTTTAGCTAAACATGAGCCGGTTTTGAAAAAAGAAAGCGACAGATTTTACCAAACACATTGTCGACCAAAATAAGATTTCGCAGTTTATCATGTTTCGATATAAATTTAGCAACGGACAACGCTCCTTCATCTCCAATCTTACAATGACTAAAATCTAGCGTTTCCAAGTTTGAGTTATCAGATAAACCGCGTAATATGTACTTAACTCTTTGACAATTCATGTCACTCCTCGTTATTCTGAAATTCAGAGGCAAAAATGAGATTACACTCTACAATAGACCATATTACGATGTTAACATTAAAGGTTGTTAGATCGTATGTTGCACTAGCTTTCGCCCGCGACTCCGTCCACGTGGTCTTCCAGGCTATCCTCTATGTTTATGTCAAATGTTATCGAGATCCCTTCAGCAGGTCAGGCTACAAACTCTAACAAACATTCCTCAATCCATCCAATCTAAATTTTCACATTTCTAATATTAGTAAGAAGTAAAATTGGCCAGTACAAAAATTGCGTTTGTGGATCACAGGCATTTCGGAAGACCTAAGTATGACCAGCAGTGGCCGGCTCTCATCTTATGAAGACGATCTTATGAAGTTATGTAAATTGTATAGTTGCCTGCCCCACTGATTCAATCTGAACACAGTATTAAGTGTCAATCAATCGCTTGAAGCCTAAGTTATTATAACCCACGTGAGCCCATGCTTGAAGCTATTGTTAAAAGAGCTCAGGCTAACCGTACTATTACGTAGCCAGCTCGATGTCTGTGCGAAGCGATAAAATAAAAGCAGCAGTAATAGATTTTTGTTCAACATACCTTAGAACTTTTAATAGGCTACATTTCTCCAGGCCATGAGCTAAATTTCTCGCATCGTTGTTAGTAAACTGAAACTGGTCTTTCCTGTATTCTACACCGATTGATCTTAACTGATAAGATAAATGAAGTTCTGTTAAATTACATAAACTACCTAAAGCAGCATGTAAAGAAATGTGATCTGTAAAATAATTATTGAATTAAAACATATTGAACTAAAAGAGATAGCAATAAAAGAATTTTAAAATATTCACCTCTATTTAACCCTTGGTTTCTAACTGTTTTTTGATCTTTTTGCCGACGACTGGTAAGGAGGTTTTCCATTTCTGGTGAAACGGTTCTCTGCACTGGTATATCCGATGGAACTAAGCTTTTAATGTACAGTGATTGTATGTAAGGCCCACAAAGCTTAACCAAATTATTTACCTTAAATATATGGGTAACTTTATCAATATCAATTTTAATCTATTCGATATTAAAAATCGTTACACTTTTTTTATTATACCTTTTCTGGGTCGTACTGCTTCGGATTCATATTTTCTAATACCTCTGCATAAAAACGCTCCATGAATAAAGCGATCCAAGGTTTTCTTTCAGCCAACAGCAAAGAATCGTTCCACTTAGATAAGTAGCAACGCTTCCAAAAAATGTCATTTTTTATGTTGTCTACCAAAAGTTGAAGAGGAACATCGGTGTTTAAAATTTGCAGAAATAATTCACGATCCTTTGCCAATAGTTGGTCCAATTTAGAACCTAAAGAGAGCTTTTGTATAGTATAAGTTAAAATAGACTTCTTTATCCGCTAAGCATTTAGTTAAATTTCAGTGCTATTTGTATGCATTAAAATTTATATTGATAGTAGTTTTAGTATTCAACATACAAAATACAGTATGCAATATTAAAACTTGCTCGATATTGAAGCTATATGTTTTACATACCAGTCCAAATATCACTCAACTTTTCAACGCATAAGCAGGAGAGCAATTTGGGATGATTTATATCCCAATCAAAGTTTTCGGATTTCAAATTACGCTGAAATTCGACTTCTTTATTTTGTTTATATGCAAGGTACGTGCTCAAAGGAACGCTTACAGGCAACTTCATGTTTCTATTGATGAATTTTTAACTCTTAATAAAGTCTAAAACAAACGAAAATCTATATGTGCCAAAAATTAAAGTAATATTAATTGGTAACCGTGGTTACAATCATTAAATGCTATCGATTTAATATGCCGTAGGTAAAGTGTTATTGCAAAGCTTGTAAATGTAAAAATTGGTATTCAAGATGTTATGTTGAAGGTAATGGAGTTGTGAGGAACTAAACGACGGAGTAACGGCATTTTCAAAAGTCATTAAAATCGCAGGGAATCTGGAAAAGGCAGGGATGGCAACATTACGAATGTGGCGCCGCTTTTTTGTGGACTGTTTATTCCAACACTGCTTTCCTCACGATTGACATTTAACAATTTCTGCTGTCAATATGTCACCTGTTAATGTAATGAACTAAAAATTCAATTAGAAAGCATAGAAATAGTTTATTATTTTCATAAATTTTGCCATTAACAATTAAATATAATGGATAAGCATAATAGCTCAGAGCTGCTGAATTCAGATTTCTCTTTATCTAAAAATGCTAGCTCGGACTCCTTGGATTCGGACTCCAAATCTAGTTCATTGAATTCTAAACACGGACAGGACTCCGTAAGTTTCCTAAAAGGATTAATTTATTCTTCTTGAATCTTATAACCGTTTGGCCACTTCCTGATAAATTTGATTGGAAGTTTTAAAATAGTCTACCGTCAATAGTCTCTATCTATGTTTTGTGAAATTAACACTGTCTTGCTAAATCATGAGTCAAAATAAAGCTATTCACGTTTGTTTGTTTGTCAATCGTATTAGAAAACAAAAAGAAAATAATGAATTTTCTAAGGCTTGTACATTTTGTTAAACTTAATATTCTTAATCATTATAATAAATGTAAAGTTTATTTCTGTGTAACATTAATAACTATTTATTTTTTAATAATGGTTTAATTTTGCAATTGCAGTCGCAGCTACTAGGAGATATTCAGTTGCTGGAAGGTGAGAAGGTTACTGGTGTAGCAAGAGATGTGACATATTTGTGCCCTTACAGTGGCCCATCTCGTGGGGTACTCAAAGTCACAAATTATCAACTACACTTCCGTCCAACTGAAGCTACATCTCTACAGACAACTCTGAGTGTACCTCTGGGTGTTGTAAGTTAATGGTTTTGTTACTCTGGAATACAGATTACTGCAATTTCATAAATATGTCTTGGATATGTGCTATTAGCTGTACAGTCAGCTCCTTAAATGTCTACTAGCAGTACTTTTAAAAATTGTCTGGGCCAATGTAAATACACACATGCACATATTATCATCAGCACTTATTCACATACTGAAGGATATAGGTAGTTATGTGCATACATATTATTATAATAAAAAGTGTATACTAGTTTTTAAAGATTTGTACTTATGCACATACTTATGCAGCTGATTGTACAATCAATATGTGTCCTGAAATAAAATTTTGTCTATGTATTATTTATTTAAAATGTAAAACTTCAATGTGTATAACACTAAAACTTACAGTACACTTACTTTTACATTTCTATGATATCTTTTATATTGAATTTAATTTTTAAGGTATCCCGTATAGAAAAGGTAGGAGGTGCATCATCTAAAGGTGAAAATTCATATGGCATTGAAGTATTTTGTAAGGTAAGTTATGAAAATTGCAAACTCAACTATAAACTCAAACTATAACTATAATAACTTAGTGTTGTTTGATATTTGATTTTATAAAATTACAATTTAGCATTTAATAGGTATTAAGTGAATTACTTTGTTGTTTTTAGGATATGCGCAATTTACGTTTTGCACACAAACAAGAGAATCATTCTCGTCGGGGAATATTTGAGAAGTTGCAGCAGTTAGCATTCCCACTGTCACACAGATTGCCACTTTTTGCATTCAGCTACTCGGAAACCTTTCCAGAAGATGGATGGCATGTATATGAACCAATAGCAGAGTTGAGAAGAATGGTAAGAGTTATAATACCTGATAACTTGTCAATAGAAAAAGATAAATCAATATTTTTGCCAAAACCTCTTAATTGTAGAGTGCCATTCATAAATACTTTTTTCCAAACAACTAAACAGAGTAAGTTGTCCAAAATATACATCTCTTTACCTAAAATAATGATTTTCATAAATTAACTCATAAAATTAAGTATGATTCATGTCCTTTTTATAATTAACTTGCAACTTTGCTCTCATGAAATTAAAAAAAAAACTCAGCCTATGTTATATATATATATATATAATAACAGATAAATTTTCTTCTAACGGTGAAAGAATTTTTAAAATTGACCAGTTGTTTTAGAGTTAATTCAATACATAGAAATATACTAATCTTTCCTCTTATAATATTAAGGGCCTGACCCAAAAAATTGTAAATTATCTGATAACATTTAACATGTAAAATTTGTGATGGAAATATCGGATTTTGTTCCCTTATCTAATAGTGACATTTTTAAGCTATTTGAGCCTCTATCAGCCAGTGGTGGGACAGGCCCTTAATATAGATTATCATACTGTTTATTAAATTTAGTAATTGGATGTATATACCAATTTAATTTCCAGGGTGTTAACAATGATATGTGGCGTATAACTCGCATCAACGATAAGTACGAGATCTGCGACAGTTATCCATCAGTGTGGGCAGTGCCCGCTGCGGCTAACGATGACCTGTTACGTTCAGTCGCCGCGTTCAGGTCTCGAGGACGTATTCCGGTGCTCGCATGGATACATCCTAGTTCACAGGCAACTATAACTAGATGCAGCCAGCCTTTAGTTGGGGTATGTTATTCTGATTAGTATTTTATGTTGTTGCCCATAACTTCGTCCGAACAGTATTAAAAAAAGCCTACGCAAAGTAATAAACTATGTATCCCGCGGAAACTTGACAATTATCCAGGATGAATTATATCCCACATGTTATACCAGACTTTGTTTTATATTTGTGCCGAATATCAATATTTTAAAATTTATTAATAATTAGTTATATCCCACTGGAACCGTAAATGTTTCCAGAATTAAAAGTAGTTCATGTGTTTTTCCAGACTATCCTCAACATCTATGCAAATATTGTCCAGATTTGTTTGGCCGTCCATCTAAATTTTCGCATTAATAATATTACTAGCTTTCGTCCGCGAGTATGTCCAGGTGGAATTAAGAAAAACAGAAATTCTTCAAAAACATAAGCCTATGGGTTCTTCTAGACTATCCTCTACATCTATGCCGAATTTCATCGAGATCCGTTCAGACTTTTAGGCTACAAACCCTAACAAACATCCATCTAAACTTTTGCATTAATATTATTAATAAAAAGTAAGATTAGTAAAATAGAACTCACCTTATTAATTGAAATTATTCATTTAATTATTTTTAATTTCCAGGTTAGTGGTAAACGTAGTCGTGAAGACGAACGCTACATACAATTGATAATGGACGCCAATGCTCAGGCGCATAAGTTGTTCATAATGGATGCACGGCCCAGTGCTAACGCGATCGCTAATAAAGCGAAAGGAGGCGGGTACGTCACCACTCAGAGTCCTGTAGGGACATCAGTGATTAATTATCAATTTAGTGGAGTCAAGATAAAGATAGCTTTATTTGTCCTTAACAGTTTAAAAAAGAAAAGTTACAGATATTTAAAACTAGATCTATAAGATATGTCAGTTAATTCATTTATATCATACTAATATTATAAATGTGAATGTTTAGATAGATGGATGTTTGTTAGTTTGTAGTCTGTGAATGGATCTCGGTGAAATTTGGCAATGACGTAGAAGCTAGTCTGGAAGAACACATAGGCTACTAACTTTTGTTTTTTGTAATTCCACGCGAACGGAGTCGCGGGCGAAAGCTAGTATTTGTATAAAATTAGTATGGTTAGTAATTCTTTTGATCATCTGCATAAGTGTTTAGTGCAGTAAGTGTTAGAAAAATAAATTATATCATAAAAATAAATTGTTTTTTCCAGCTATGAATCAGAAGATGCATATCAGAATGCGGAACTGGTGTTTTTGGATATACACAACATTCATGTAATGAGAGAAAGTCTTCGCAAACTGAAGGAACTTTGCTTTCCACAAATAGACCAAACAAGATGGTTTAGTGGTATCGAAGCGAGTTGTTGGTTGAAGCATATTAAATGTATATTAGCTGGTGCTGTTCGTATTGTCGATAAGGTGAGTTAAATACACTTTGAAATTGAAAAATACGTTTTTTGGGATGGGATGTAAGCCTTGATGCTTCAACTACATAAAAATACTAATTATTGCCAGAGAAATTTCTTGCATCATCATTACCAGCTTACTAAACATCCGCAATTGCAGATGCGTTGCCTACCCTTAATTAACAGAGAAGGAGACACACATAAAGAGGAAATTTCCTCTTTCTAAGCAACTCCTCCACCGTCAAATCCACTTTTCCTTCCTTTCCTCTTAAGAAAAGGTTGGAAAGGGAAAAATACTAAAATTAGGCCTCTGGCACTCATCAGACGAAACGCGGAATTGCTTCCACTTCAGGCCTATATTCTGTGTGGTGGTATTGCTGGGGGTGAGTCGGTCCTACAGTGCGAAGAAGTTAAAGCGGGCTCTACCACTGTGACCACTGCAACAGGTGGAGAACCACAAGACATCGGTGCTGGTGCACTGCTCCGACGGCTGGGACCGCACGGCGCAGCTGACGGCGCTGGCCATGCTGATGCTGGACCCGCACTACCGCACGCTGCGCGGCTTCCAGCTGCTCATAGAGAAGGAGTGGCTCGCCTTCGGACATAAGTTCCAACTGGTAAGTCTTACTGTTATACTAAGAGTACCAAGTTACAGTGAATATGAAAAAAAAAATTTTTTTAAACCTTTTTTTATTTTTCAAACCTATTTTTCAAAGTAAACCTAGAAAGAGATGGATGGATTGTGTGAAAGGTGACATGATCAAGAAGGGAGTGATGACTGAGATGACGGATGATAGAATGCTTTGAGGACGAAAACCCGGCGTGCCGACCATACGGGAGTAGGATAAGGCAGGGGAGATGATGATATAAATCAAAGTAAACATTTTTAACTTTGTACTAACAATAACATTTTATTATAGTGTTCATTCCATGCTATCATATATTTTTTATTTTTGGTCCCTCAAGCAGGGTAATTAAAGCAATTTATCGTTTACAATGGAGTAAGCCATCACTGATGTGATAATCACGGTTGTTCCATACAGCAAAATTATGAGTGAAACTCGAAAATCTTCTGAAATGTTCATAATTTAAAAAAATACTATAGATGCTAAGTTCCAGTTTTGAATGCAAGTCAGTATAATGCGTGTAAAAATACAAAAGGTTAATGAGCGTTGGTAAAAATGTTTATGTACAAACATACACTAGAGTAGAAGCGGCATTAACGGTGATGATGGTGAAATGATGGTGATGGTGTCTGTGCAGCGTATAGGGCACGGCGACGAGCGCCACTCGGACGCGGACCGGTCGCCGGTGTTCGTGCAGTGGGTGGACTGCGTGTGGCAGCTGCAGCAGCAGTTCCCCACGGCCTTCGAGTTCACCGAGCGCCTGCTCATCACCATCGTTGATCACCTCTACTCCTGCAGATTCGGCACTTTCCTATTCAATACTGAACGGGAACGTGTTAAAGAGGGTGAGTTAACTACTGAGATATGCGGAGTTTAGAGTAACCGCAGGCCAGTATCGTGTTGTATGGACTAACTGCCCCATTTAGCGGTTAAATTATGCCAGTGGAGTTATAATAATAAGTGCTATTGTCCAAGTATAACGGCCAAGTGTGATCCGGGCGTCATGATCTATGGGTTTAGTATGAAAAACCTTAATTAAAGATTATAGATTACTTTGTGACGCAACGTGTAACTGTTTTGTGTTTCATATTTTTAACATACAATGGAAAAATTACAAATGGGTAGCCTCACTTTATATCGGACAGGTGGCAGTTAAAATATTTTTTTTTTTATATATTGGTTTTTGAATTGTGCATATAGTCATATATCTGATAATTATAAATTA